TTAACATAAAAAAACAACTTCCTAATTATTCAACTTCCATTTTTATACAGACACGTATTATAACACAAAATTCGTGAAATTAATTTGTTTGAATATTTGATTTCAAGTTCTTCCATTTTTATACAGACACGTATTATAAGACAAAATTCGTGAAATTAATTTGTTTGAATATTTGACTTCAAGTTCCTTAAAAGTTAGCAATTTTCACTTCTCTATTAGAAGATACAAAATTCAAAATTTCATTTTTAAGAACTCATTAATAAACTTTGTATTAGTATTTCTCTGATTTCTCATATACATATATACGTTTCTTTTCAAGAATAGATGACTGAGAAATCTCTCTGAGAATCACTCTGTTCTGCAGGCATTGAAAAGCCTTGTCGACCGATAAAATCGGCCCAGTGGTTGTGTTTAGCAGAGAATGCCGCTTTGCAACTATTATAAAATTCGTGTAATAAAATTACTTTTGCACCAGTTCATATTTTTTCTTTTTTTCTCTAGAAGAAGAGAAAAGGAAAAATGATGAACTGGTGCAAAAGTTCAATCAAAAAGAACAGATTCTGATTTGGTCTCAGACACTTCGATTGATTGTCTGTCTTTGTTTGTCTAACGGATCGATAATTATGGACATAAGGAAGATTCGAACCAAAAAATCGTGGACATTACCGACACGATCGTGGACATTGGCTACATAGTTCAGTGTCCACGTTTTGTGGACATAGAGGCGCTTCAAAATGAAGTAACAGCTAAATCCCGGGCATGGTCCGCGCTTTCAGGCTTCTTTCTGATTTCTCGCAGAATATCATAAATCAAATAAAGTTCAAGGGTGAAAAAAAACATAAATTTTACTATATTTATAAATTTAATAACCATTTTTTTTACATTTTTGTACATTATTGTTAATAAACTATTTTTATTGTTAAATTTTTGGTATAAATTTTGCAAACTTAAAATATATAGCTTTATTGTTTTTATTAATATTTTAACAAAAAATAATTTATTAAGAGCCTGATCATGTCAAAGTATTATAATAAAATAAAGTAAAGGAAAAAGTAATAATTGATTATTATCTTTTAAATTTAACAAACGGGAATTGTAGTTATTTATTTTCAAAGTAACTTTCTCATTCCTGATTATTATATATAAATTATAGCATATCATGAAGGACTAAAAAAAGTAACAAATGAGAGAGTCGTGGAACGACGCGTGAGGTAAAATTATGCATATTGCATTATACTTTTTTCTCAAGAATACCGTTTGTGTTATTGATATCAGATAAAAATTTACATGTTTTCTTGTGCGTATGTACACATAAAAAGTGTATAGGTACATACATAAAAAGCCATTATAAATTATTCATGAGTGATTGTAAATACTGGTTTGGGTATTTTAAGGTAAATACATCATCACCCACAGTCGCATTGACCAACTCTTCGCCAATTTAATTATACATGATATATAAATGCATCGAAAAGAAAAGAAAATGATGTATTTTAAAAAATTACAAATTATGCTAACTACTATAACTATCTTTGGTAATAGCACAATTTTTTTTTAAAAACGTTTGTAAAAAATAAATATGTTATCTAACACAAAATTTATAATTACGTACAGTTAGTTAAATAACAGTTTAAAGCATAACGTATTCAACACGTTAATTGCGAACATATAATCTTATTTAATCATATTACACTATATTTTATGTTTGTATAATTATAATTATTATAATAACAAAAATATATATTATTCTACTTGGTATTCAAAATGTGCAAAGTGAAATGTACAAAACTCGCTGCGCAGCAGAACATGTACTAACACAGTCGATTAAAGACTGTGGATTGCACCGCAAAATAACGAGGAAATGACAAAAGAATTTCCAGTCATCATCATGTAACCGGATTTGTAGTCTCGACGAATGCAAACAGGTCTGGATGCATCAGACTATTATATTATAATCACGGATTTACGCAACGCGATTAGTCATAAATTACATCATTTGACGAGCATTCATTAGCGAAAAAGTAATAAGAAACCGGTATTCCCGGTTAATAAAAACAGCATTAATTAACGCATAGCTTTATTAAATAGCTAGATAACATAACAGGCATTATGATTTACTTGATCGGTACTTATGATAATTCTTCATATTTATATCCGTATATATATTGAGAGATTTTAAACCGCTAAGACAATCAGATAACTCAAGATGTAATAAAGTTTCATTTGACTATAATTATAAATAGAAACAAAACTCGAAAGAATGTTATTTTTACAACTAAACATCGTACATTTAATGTAGATCGTAGATATGTTAAATAAAATGCAAATAAATTAAATCTTTCAATTACTGAAAATAGATAAACTGGAAGGTGGATAATCACTTTAATTTGACATAAATTAAAGAGAATTTCTAAATCATTTAGAAATACAAAAATAAATAGTCGGAAATATTAGAGAATAGAATAAAAGTTTATTCGATTTCAGTGTTTCACAATTTAGTCAAGAAGGTGATTTGGTTTACAATCTTTTATACGGAAATATTTTCGATGTCATTTGAACATTAATCTTATAGCGCTAATTGCAGAAGACATAATGCTCTTCCTTTGGGTGTGGGATTAGGAAACGTCAATAAAGCACTTAGGAGAATGTTATATAATCTCATGGATTTATTTTCAGCGTCATATCACGCTTGGCGATTTGGAAATAAATAAACCGTAGACCTTGAATTGTACTACGTTTATGTAAAAATAGATTTGTAATCACAGCTATGCATCTTCAGTCGTCGGGAAGATCTCTAGCACAGCAACAACCAATTTCCGAAATCAGGATGAAAGTGAAACGCGAGATTTACGCTGGGATTTTACCAGCTTTAACGGAGTAAGTGCCTTTACCGGAACTGTCTATGTTAGACGAGCTGCTGCTGTAAACTCCTTTGGCCCCTTCGACAGTACCGCTCTGACCGTCTTCAGTATCACCAATACGAGAGAATAGACTACGAACAAAATCAAGCGGTTATCAAAAAATTAATGTCTCAAAAGATTTTAATATTTTGACTTGAAAGTTCCACATAACGAGGGCTTCTAAATCTTTGGATGACAATTTTAGGCATGTCTTTCTTTTTAACGTTTTCCTCACTTTTCCATAATTTCATTAATATTAAAGTTCTTTTTTTAGAAATATGTAATAAAGAACATTTAAATGAAACTGAAAAATGTATTATTGAACATTTTGTACGAAATGTGTAAAGTTCTTAAAGAAACAGCAATTAGCATTCGCTATGGGTCTTTGTTGACTTATGCCTGATCAAGGTGTATTTATTCAATGAATTATCATATTTTGTCGATTTCCATAATCAACCATAGTCTACGTATTATAGTTTGTATGACGAATAAGAGATATGGAAATATTCGATCTTAGCAAGAAACTTGTTCACCTTGAAGTCTATTCTACTGTTGGGAAAACGCGGATTGGTTCATTGTGTATTAAATTTCTGATTCATTAGACAATTGCCGAATAATTATATTTCTTGCAGTGTTTTGGACTATCCTAATACCGAGATATTAATCATAATAGTAGACTGTCGAATTAGAAATTGATATTTATCATTCAATCTCCTTTTACGATTATTTCATTAAAAAAAAATTAGGCACCAATATAAATCGTTTTCAAGTCATAGGTAATTCAGATTGAAAAAATAACTGAAATATTTCTTAAGTTTTGTAATATGTACTCGTGTATATTTTTTTAACAATACATACTCTACTCCCGGTCCGTGACCGCCAAGACCTCCGTGACCTCCATATCCTCCAGCACCGGCATTTGCGCTTGCACTAGCTTGGGCAGTTGCACTACTATATCCACCTTGAACATGAGACACAATGATTAATTTATATTTATCAATCAACATTGTCTCAAGCACCATTAAATTTTTACTCACCTCCATGTCCCCCGCTCAATTCTCTTTCACCGTATCCACCGCTTAAACCTCCTCCATGTCCACCGCCTAGTCCGCCAGGGCCACCGCCGAGTCCTCCATGTCCACCTAATTCACCGGCACTAGTTAACTCAATTTTTCAATATATTTTTTTTAAATTATTATCACCATCTGTTACTAACAATTTATATAGAATGTCTTAAAACTTGAATAGGTATGGAAGTATAGAATAATCAAATTTTAGAATTATTGGAGAGACTACAGAAATAACAAAAGTATGTCAAAAATATAAAATTTAAGAAACAAAGATATTTCATATATATTTAAACTGAATAGATTTTAATGGCACAAATAAATTTTTTTTTAATATTCACACTTATGACCATCTCCGTAACTATCGTGTTAGAACCTACCACCCAAACCACCGGTACCATGGCCAGCTTCACCGTAACCTCCGACACCACCGCCTCCGTGACTACCTGCATGAGAACCAGCCCCGCCATAACCACCACTACCAGAACTACCACCATGACCATATCCTCCGTGGACATCACCACTACCATGTCCTCCAGAGCCACTTCCTCCATAACTGCCAGCACCGGCACTACTTCCACCGTAGCCGCCGGCGCTAGGCCCACCTCCCAAACCTCCACTAATTTTGTCAATTCCACCTCCACCACCACCGTGACTATCTAAAAATGCGCATATAAAAGCTTCATACAAAAAAAAATAAAGCACTTTTGTATGTAAAAAGTGTTATATGTATTATATATTTAGTAATGTGTTTCTAAAACGTGTTATTCTATTAAAATGAAAAAAAGCAAAGCATAACTATATGTATATTTAGATTATCATTAATTTATTATTATTAATTTTTAGTTGTTATTATGCTATCTATATATGTATATATACCAATTCTTTTGTTCGAATAACTTACCACTACCATAGCCGCCGAGTCCTGAAAAAATTCACGAAACATTTTAGATAAAGTATTGATATACACTTTTGTAAATTAAATATTTGAAGAAATATAATAAGAAAAACTAATAATTCTTGGTCAAACTGTTTAAAATTAATAGAAAGTTAATCACCATATGTACCGCCTCCGTGGCCGCCACCTCCGTACCCACCGCCGCCTCCATGTCCTCCACTTCCGTATCCACCGCTGCCGGCGTGTCCACCTCCGTACCCACCGCTGCCGCCGTGTCCACCTCCGAATCCACCACCGCCGCTTTCATATCCACCATGTCCACCGCCACCTCCAAGTCCACCGTGACCACCTCCGAGACCACCATGACCACCTCCGAGTCCACCATGTCCACCTCCGAGTCCACCATGTCCACCGCCACCTCCGAGTCCACCATGTCCACCGCCACCTCCGAGTCCACCGTGTCCATCACCACCTCCGAGTCCACCGTGACCGCCGCCACCTCCGAGTCCACCGTGACCACCTCCGAGTCCGCCATGTCCACCCCCTATACCGCCGTGGCTGCCGCCTCCGTATCCACCTCCGAGTCCACCGTGTCCACCGCCACTCCCGTAACCACCGTGTCCACCGCCACTCCCGTAACCGCCGTGTCCACCTGCACCCCCATAATCGCCGTGTCCACCGCCACCTCCGAGTCCACCGTGACCACCGCCACCACCGAGTCCGCCACCACCGAGTCCACCACCACCGTATCCACCGCCGCCATGTCCACCGCCTCCGTATCCACCATTCGTCAAAGCCGAGGATTGTGCACCTGCCGAAGCACTGCCGTAAGCTTGAGAATTGGATTTGGAGACACCGCTACCACCACCATACGAGCTTGCGCTAGCCGAACTGCTAGCGCTACTGGAGGCGAAGCCTCCGCTATATCGCTTCGTACGCAGTGACAGTAATTTATCTTCTGCAACACACAAATCAAGAAGATTATTTTTATATCACTATAAATTAAATTTAACTTAAAATAAAACACGATTGAAAATTTAATATTAAATAAATCACAAATCCGTTTATGTACAGAATTAGATATATATATAGTATGTAAAATATTATATACTTTCAATTCTCAATTCTCTTTTTTCACATTCATCATGATTTATACCATTAAATCTGAATCCATTCCTGACACCTTCAATTTCGCTAATTCCACCAACTCCACCGCCGATTCCCTTGTAACCTTCGAATCCACCATCGGTGTGTGTACCGCCCCCGACTATTGTAAAAATATACAACTGTTTTAATGCTTGTAAGAAATTAAAATATAGATACTAGTTTAAGCAAAATGTTCAGTTATCTTGGATCAGAGTTCAAGTATTTACTCATAACTATTATCTACATGCGACTGTAACAAATTTCTGCACTCATAGCAAAGATTGGTTATCGATTTCTCGGAAAAATCTAAACTTGTGCGATGGTTTTGTATTTTTATATACGCTTTCTTCGAAGAGTAACTGCAAAGCTAAAAGGAAGACGCGCATTACACATTTACATATATTTACGATTGTTACGTCATGAGAAGATTATCGTTATCTTACTAATAGCAAAATCTTGGAAAATCAAATTAACATTTTGCGCATGATATATCCTGTAGACTGTAAATGTTAATTTTTAAACAAGAACAATGTATATACATATTATTTTATTATTTTGGTGTTTAAGATGTTTTTGCTTATTGTATAAAATACAATGTTAAATATGTATTTTATGCATGTATATGTGTAATGTTTATATTAAGATAAGAAAATATTTAATGATAAAATTAGTATACTAAACATTCAAGTTTTCTTTCATATATATTCCATAGATTTGTTGAAAGAGTTTTTTCTTTTGTAAGAAATATATTTTTTCTTATTCAAACAATAAAGATATAATGACGAAAGCAAAATGTATCTGAGTAAAACTCACCATGCGATTTCTAAATATCAATAATATTTTATAATAAAACGAATTAATGATGATGAGAAATGGATACAGAAGAAGAAAACGATTTACGTACTTTGTGCTTGGACACATGCTGCAAGTATTAAGGCCAAAAGGCCGATTGTCCGATACTGCCACATGACGATATCTGGTTTCTATCCTGATCCGCCGGCAAGTCTTTATATCTTACCTCCCACTCGACCGCTCATTCCTTCCTAAAACTCTGAGTACTTCATTGGACAGACATATTGAGAAGCAATAAGAGCAAAAAGGTGCGATACATGGTCAAGATTAAGGTAATCACCTGTAGAGGCGTGCTTACCCTGATCGGGAATTCACCTGGGACTGTCATCGTATCTTTTTGTACTTTCGTTTATACTTTCAGCGATATCATTTACATTCTGTTACAAAGCATAATGTAAACAATTGTCTTCAGAAAGGATTATAAGTTAGACAAATATGGATTGCAATTCTAAGAATAAAAGGCATACGTTTTTTAAATTAATTTTTTTATTCTTGACGTTTCAAAGATTATATAGCGTTAGATATGAATAACGCACAAATATATTTTCCGTAGTTATTCGCGATAACATAAAAAAATTACTGGTAATCCAATATAGTTAAACCAATCGAATAAATCAATCTTTGTGAAAAAAGCAGGATAAGTGTATCTAAAAAAGTCATGAGAATAATTTATGCTAAAACAATTTGTATTGTACCGATTACGTCTATCTTTTCAGAGAAATATGGAAAATAAAGTAATTTTTTACGTGCTTATTTATAGCAAAAATGTATTTATTAGACAATTCAAGAAGAGAGAAGCCTCTACAGAAGGTCGAGCAATATGCAAAACACGAGATTTTATCACGATGTTAACAAAGAGAAATAAGGGTAGAGTCTTACGAAATAAACACTTTCTCTCTGATATAATTTACTAATTTGCGAGCAACTTCTTATTTATACATTTACTATACATTGCTAGGAATATATGCTAGATATCCGTCAATAATGTAAATATGTTTGGTCGTTGACATTATCAATTTTTATAATATGATGATTACCGGTTTAAACAGCTATGAGATGACACATCTAAGCCGATAATGCAAAATATTTACGCGAAGGTCATTTGTAGCCTCCAGCGGATTTATCTTGATGAATCTCAATGTCATTTTACAGATTTATTATCTATGCCAATACGTTAATACGCAATAATAATGTTCGTAAAATTGTCATTTTCCTATTATCACAAATTACTATGTAAGAATAAATGTATAATCTCTCAAAATAAAAGCGCTAAAAATATTAACACATTATTTAGTATTGTTTTTAATATTTTAGTGTTTTTTAATGTTGGATCAATAATTGTGCATTTTGAATATGCAAAAGTATTTAGAGGTGTTATTAGGGGGTGTAATATATATGTATATATATATCTCTTTACGAATCTTAAAAAATTTTTTTGTATTCAAAATGCAGTTAAATATATTTATTTTATATGTTGTAGTAATTGTTTTACTATTTATTACAAAATTTTACTTTTTAATTATTAAATTTTAAGAAAGAATATCATTATAAAAGGAAAAAGATATTTAAAAGCATTCGATATGTTTAAATATATTACATGTTTTATTCGACAAAAGTTTTAAAATATTTTTTAAATGTCTAAATTGAAAAAAATTATTAAAATACATACATGTAATACATAATCTAACAAAACATAAAGTGATCATATGACATTTATATTATATATAGTAAATATTTTAAAATTATGTATTCGATAAAATGTTCATATCAAAGCACAAAGAAGTTAAATTTATAGATCATCGTAATTGGAAAATACATGGGCGGTAGAGGAAACAATATATTGCACGTACTTATGACATTTATTACATGTTATGTATAGTTTTAGAATAGAGTAAGTATAAATAAGTGTAGATGTGTGCATGCAAAACAGTCGATGCTATTTCTAATATAAAGTACCCATAAGGCAACGTCATAAAAATTATATAATTCCCATTTTTTCCATAAGTTGCAAGTTTCCTAAGAATGAAATGTAATTTGTTAAAGTTAATAATTATATTTTTAACATATCTTTTTTTACTTAATTGTCGATCAGTGTGTGTTATTATAAATAATAATCACGTTGAATTTTGTTCATTTATATATGTACACATCATATGTAGTTCTACGAAATGTATATTCTGTGAATAACGTATCAATCTAAATATGCTATATGTAAGTTAATTATAGGGAAAAGTATTAAATAAAAACGTATATATTCTCTTGCTTTATCGACGATAGTTAAAACACTTTAGTTATTTATGTTAAAAATTTATTGCGTTCCATTAGAACTGCAAATTTCTCGGGATCGATTTGTCTATATTTTTATGGACACTATCTATAATCATTTGATGGCACAGTATTGCAGTATATAGCCATTAATGGATTTCAAATTTAAAAAGCATGATATTTTTTCCAGGAAAGCCTTTTCAGATTATTGTATATTGTATATAATCTGGGAATATATCGCGTGCGCGCATTATATGTTTCTACATTTTCACATTATCATAATTAAATAAAACGGGGAAACGAATCTTCTAATCGGTTTAAAAGATTGAACTGACATATAATCAGAACAGCGAGATAGTTCATGGCTGCAGTCATCGAGGTGATTTTTTGATATTTTCCTGAGGCAATGATTTATGACTTGCAGACTTAGCACAAAGTGAACAACATACAAGAAAATATTTATTTAATGGACTAAAATCGCAAACGCTTGTCTGTTTATAAAAGTCACCATGCGCCGGTAAATTAAAAGAATCTACGATAACTTCCATTTAATGTTTAAATATTGACCCAATCGCTGTGGTATAGTATATGCTTGAAGTGGAGTTTAAACTTCCATAAAATGTAAATAACAAGTCGTGATACGGAGATAAATAAATCAATTTGTTTAAAATGATTTTTAAAGTGCATATAATCATAAATCCTATATCTAGCTGTCTGAAACAATATTCTCTGCATAGTCGTTTTTTTTCGTGCAAAAACATAAAGTCAATAAAAACTTCACTTTTAGAGTATAGAAAGTATAAAAATTTATAAATTTACAGGCCACTATGTCGTTTTTCTCAAATTAAAAAAGGCCAAATTAAATAGAGATAAGTAATTATGTTTAAACCTATTTTTTAAATATTTCATATCGTTGTATGTATTTAATAAATGTTTAAGGAACTTTATGCCGCGTATAAATACAATTAGCAACTGATGGATTTTATTATCGTGGATTTATCGCTAATCTGACAATTTTTATCAAGGATGCGATTATAACGTCCTTTATAAATGACTAAATTATTTGTCCATTGTATATCCATTATATTATGTTTTTTATTAGTTTATATCTCGACAACCATTAATAAAATACAATAAATAAACAAAATTCAGAATTAAAAAACGTCTACAAATATTAATAAAGCAGTGTTAAAACTTATTTTTAATGTAGATAATATATTTATAAAAGATATTGTTAAATATAAGATAATTAGTTGTTCTTTTCACAAATATATCGAATCCATTTTTGTTTAATATTGATATTGACGTAAATGCAGTAATTAAAATATATTCTTAGACAAACACAGACAAAATTGCAAATATCTTTCTACATTTAAAGCACAAATATAAAAAAAATATTAAGATATTATAAATGATGCTAAATTCGATGCTAATAAAAAACTTCTTTCTGAAGTTACCATATACGTTGACAAGATAGTAGATAATATTGGATTGCTCCAACGATTGCCTTCGCTGATATCGATGCAGAAACTATCGGGTATCATTTATCATCTTCGATGTCCCGGAGACCATGTAGCCACGGAATTTCCATATATCATTTTCTTAAGATCTGAAATAGATACCTATCAGTTCTCAATTACCAGCAAGAAAATCAATTAGACGATATTTGTACAGGCAAGAAAAACGATTTAAAAAAATTAATATTATGAATGATAATTACGGATTGTAACCACAACTACATTTAATTCGCGGTATGTTTTTGCGTTATTGCGGATAACACGGATTGTATTAGCTTTAATTCATTCTAATCTAACACTGCATAATCTTCGCGAACGTTAAGAATGTGAGAAAAAAATTAAGAAGGTAATTTATATGCCCCTTTTTAAATTATAACTAAAACACTGCGTAAATGGAATACAGTTCTGCATAAAATTAGATAACAATTAACGTTTGTTTAATTACATCACTTGATACAAGCAGATTTTTTTATCGTGCTAATATCTGTTTCTATAAATAATACCAACGTAGTCTAATTTTAACCTCAGTTCAATTAACTCATCACCTTTTTCTGTTCTAAGAACTAGATGAAGAGTCAGTTAACTTCCTCATCAGTTCAACTTACTCTTAATTTACTGTTTATCTTTTTCAGTATGTTAAAACGAGATTAAAGTTAATCTTACATTGATGGAACTGGTCTTACCCACAAACATCATAAATATATATACTTCTTGCAAACCTGCTTTTACAAATGTCAAAAGTTTCTTTTCTTTTCATTATTCAGAAATCTCAAACTTCATCTTCGCGTAACTACTGAACATATTTTTCTCTCGAAAATTGAATTATACTGAAAGCAATTTTATTGTAATCATAAAAATTAAAAAAAATACATGTATTAGTAGTGTAGTAATTACTTAGTTAATGATAGACCTTGCAAATAAAAGAAGAGATATTATCTAATTTTTTAAAAGATCAATTTTCTCAATAATAGAATAAAGACATTTGTGTTGATTCTTGAATGAGACAATAAATAGCCATTTTTTCGAGATTATATTACGTATTTCGGCCTCTACCTCGCGCATCAAGTTTCAATGATTATTCATGAGTACAAACGTGAACGGCTTGTTAAATCCCCTCGATCCATTACACTCGCAGTGAGATCGTAATTATGAAAAAAAAGCGAACTTACGATATCAAAACTCATTAAGTTCGTTACCGGTAGAGCGGATCAGAAACATTTTAACATACACGTTACGAGTTTTTTTTTCTCACGTTTGATGCATACGCGCTACTTACGAATGACGCGACGCCATCGCGTATTTTCGATCGTGAAGCTTATGTCGTAAAGATAAACACACGGCTACATCAGCGGGATCATTACGATTTTTTACTTGCTTTACCTCATTATGCGTATCATCCGCGCGGAAAGACCGACGAATCAACGTCAAAAGAGACGTTATTTCCCGAGAGATTAAACAATAATTTTAATACACAGTGTTCCGATATTACCGAATATTCTTTTGTAGTAACAACCACAAATCATTTTTTTTACGAAATCGAGAAGTATCTCTGTTTATCGTGCTTTTCAATATTGTTTTCGGCATTTTTTCTATCCTTGTAAAGTATTTAATTAAGAAATAAACAAGTTAAAAATGTATAAAATTAGGAATTTTTGATGGCTCAACGAAATAAAATGTGTATCTAACATTTGAGAGCCAAGCATGCTGTCGATACACAAAGATCTATTTTATATTGAACGAATTATTATAATTACGATTTATATAATTAAAATTTTAAACGTTTCAAATCTAACAGAAAAGTCTTCAGTGAGCAAACGACTTACAATCAATTAGTATTTGACCGTAAATACATTTCTTTAAAACGGTCTTTATCATCGCTAGAGAGTTAAAAATGCAAAAGGTCCTTAATTTTATGTCAAAATTATTGTAAAATATAGCTCGAAATAGAAGAAATCAGTGCCGAAAGAATGTGATACTTAAGAATATGTCAGAATAAGTAAATTATTGTGTTAATATATGTATTTATAAATAATGTGACAATTTAAAAAAATGGAAGTTTATAGATCGACACAAACACACAAATTTAAATACTTTATACATTTAAGTATACAAAACAAAAGACACAATTAACTGATATGATTCTAACGATTAACTGATATGATTATAAAAGACTATAATAATAAAACATTATTGTCATCATAATATATGATTTGACATTTTAACCGACAGAAGGCGCAATCGAAAGATCGAAACACGAAAAGATCTAGAAACATAAATCTCTTATAAGAGAAAGCGCACATCGAAAACATTCGTTCGCAGTTAGTCACAATTAAGCAGCTCATCATCATCTTAATTAGCTGAAAAACGTGTGCATATACGTCGAGGTGAATAACTTATATGTATTCATTACAATTCCAATTGTGTGTAACTCGTACAATTATTAATACGTTTTTTGTGTACAAGTTGTATAAATACGATTGTGCATTAAATATAGGGTTCATTCCACTTAACGTTCGCAACGATCGCGTGTATCATCTCATCCTTACTTAATATTCGATTACAAGAAGGACAAAATGATTCTCGCGAGCGTTGCGAACATTAAGTGGAACGTACACATAGTGTGAAAAAAGGGGAGAGAATTTCAAGTTTTTTATTTCAAATTTTATTCATCGGATATCGTATACTATAGTTACCGAGTTCACGATACTCCTGTATCTTTAAAAAAAATATCAAAAATCAAAGGTGAGTGTGCAACGTTGTTGTAGGTACGTGAATAATTCAAAACGGATCCACAATCAAATTCTTTATTATTGAACATCAAAATAAGTACGTTTCGACTCCATTTTGAATCTTCTTCAGGTAATACAAATAAATGAACTCTTCATTTAATAATTCTTCATATCTGTCAATTCGATCGTTTGTCTAGCAAAATTATTAAATGAAGAGTTCATGTATTTGTATTAGATGAAGAAGACTCAAAAAGGAGTCGAAACGTATTAATTTTGATGTTCAATATTAAAGAAATTGATTGAAGATCCGTTTTGGATTATTAACGTACCTACAACAACGTCGCACTCGCACATCCTTGATTTTTAATTAGGAGAGTCCGTAAGGAGATTACGTTTTAAAAAAGTATGTTGAAAAATAAATAATAATATTAACAAAACATTATACAGATCACATATATTAGTGGATGTATGTCAATTCAAATTCATAATTGATATGAAATGGTTTCTTTGCGGGAAAAATCAATTTTAATACGTTAAACAGATTGCCGTTATGATATAGACTACGTATAAAAGTGCATAACGAAAAGATAGGAGGGAGAGAAAAAGAGAGAGGGGGGGATATATCAATATTATAAATTATATTTAATACGAAATGTATAGATTTAATGATATATTTTTTACAGCTTAAGTTTTGACTTTTACACATATTTAACATCATAAAGATGCCTACCATTAATGATTATCGATTTGAGTCTGTCCGTTTGGACAGTTACAAAATCTTGCCATATTTGTGGAAAGTGGAGCCACAAAAACTCGCGGCGGCTGGATTTTATTATACAGGCGAAAGCGACCAAGTGCAATGTTTCATGTGCGACGTAAAATTATGTAATTGGGAACCGAAAGATGATCCGTTTGCCGATCATCAACGGGAATCTAGTAAATGTGAATTCATTAGAAATATACCATGCGGCAATGTACCGATCGGTACGGATCCCAGCACAATTCCGATACCCGTGGTTAATAAACGAATAGATGTACCTAATAGACTTTTTGAATTTCCGACGTTTGCCATTCATTTCAATCAAAGCAGTGAAAATCAAAACACAATAGAAAGAAGGACTTATTGGTTAGAACAGTTAGTAGGCCGAAATTTAATTAAATTTAAGTACTCTCTATGTTCCGAGTATACTATTAGATTAGCAACATATAAGAAATGGCCTAAATCAAAGTCACAAGCTAAAAAACTAGCAGCTGCAGGATTCTGTTATTCGGGAAATAGCGACCAAACAATATGTTATTACTGCCATGGAAGATTAAAGAATTGGGAGCCGAATGATGATCCCTGGGCAGAACATGCCAAATGGTTCCACTACTGTCATCATCTAATTATAAGTAAAGGGACGGAATTTATAAACAATATTACTGGGACATCGTACATCAAAATAGTAAGCATTTAATCAAAAATAGACGAAATTATGCAATTTTTATATCTATAATTAACATATTAATTTTAATCTACTTACATATATATATATATATATATATACATATATATATTTGTGAAATAATTTTATTATGAAATTATGTTGAATATAATAATTAGTCTTAAATCATTTTATTTTTCAGAGCACTTTAAATGACACAATGGAAGAAAAATGTGAGGAACTTGATACAAGTGAGAATATTGATAGTGGAAGCTCTCAAAATATAATTACTGCTAAAGAACCTAATACAGAAGTAAGTAGTGTATCGCATGAAGCCAGCAGCGAGGAACAATGTGACCAAGGACTGAAGGACATAAATTTGAGTGATAACACTGGCAAGGATACAGTAAATTAGTTTAAATTAAAATTAGCAAAGTTTGTTTTAGTAGAAAACTACAAATCTTATTTATACCACGTAATCATTATCTGATGTGTAGAGTGTGAGAAAAATTTGACAAAACGTATATGTGGCGTAAATATTAAATATATGTATAGTAAAAGTGAATATAAAGTATAACTAATAATCTGTAGTGTCTATATAAAAGTTGCCACGTATCAAGTAGGGCTAGGTATTTTAAAAGATTTTTATTTGCATAAACGATATTTGTAAAAAAATTGTATCCTGTATTTTGTATTTCAAATACTAAAAAGTTTACATTTGATCTTTCATTATTTAAATTACAAAATATATAATACTTTCATGTATAATACTTTCAAAATGTATAACAATTTGCATTGCTGAAATATAAAATATTATACATATTACACTTTTGTTACAAAAACTGTCTTTTAAATAAAATTATTTTATTGTGCGCAGCCCTGTTATCAACTTTATAAAGACTAATATTTTTAACGAAATTAAACTATTATTTAGTTTTGCTGATTCGTATATCGTAATGAGTAAATACAAATTAGAAAAAGAAAAATAATCTTAAGTGCTTTTTATTAGTATTTAAACACTGAATGTATGTTTTTTTAAAAATGATGATAAGACGTCTATTGAAACCAATTAACGTATATATATATATTTATTATTAAATTTTATATATCTGAATTTTACATAATTTGTAAGTTTTTAGTGAGATAACTAGAATGATAAATAAATTGGAATTAATATATATATATATCATTTATTGTAGAATATGCATTATATTATATTTTATTATCATTAAAATAGTAATTATATGACTACTAAAACATCATTATGAATAAATTTTAATAAAAGTTTGATATCCGCATTTACTGACTTTTAAGAATTTTTTTTCTGGAAACATTCCTGACGTAATTTGTAACCTGTTCTTTCATCTTTACGTGTCTAATCCATGAGAATCATATAATAAAATACTTGCCAATCTGTACAGTTTCGTAATCTCTTTTTCTTATTTCTAATATCACCTAGAAAATAACAATTATTATCAATCAAAAAAAAAAGTGAAAGTAATCGCATTGATATATATTTATTTCAGCAAAACATGATAATCATAGTACATAATTATGACATTCACTTGTTACATTTGCTTGTTTATCTTAGTTGCAAGTAGTAATAATTTAAAGACGTATAATCCAAATATACGATGTGAGTGAATAGCTGAAATAGAGTTATAAGTTATTTCGATATCGAGATCAATCGTTTTAGACAAAAATTTATCAGGATTGGGAAATTATTTTGAGAACACTTGATGCACAGTGGATAAATTTGTCTTAATAAACACTATTTATATTATAAATTACGTACTTATGTAAATTGTCTAATGCAATTTAAGTTCATTAAGATTGTTGAACACACAGAAAACATTGTACATTAATGTTTAATGAGACAAAGGTACTTTAAGAACCTATTGATAATTTATTTTAAATAAATTTCTACATAGATATATCTTCATAAAGTATTGCGATTAAGTTTTTACTCACAGATTTTCAACCGGACAGTATATTCTTTTTTGCTTTCTCTTTCTTCTTTTTGTTTTGTCATTATATAGTAAACTATAATTTAAATCATACAACAATTTTCTCAAACAAATCCAAAAAATATATTTTTAAATGTCAAAATTAAAAATATTTTCTGACTAATAAATCGTAATTCAATAAATCAATACGTTCTCATATTTTTTAAAGACTTCTATATAGTCTAAATACATATATCAAGCAAACTTAATGACTAACTTAGTGATTATTCGTCTCTTTGATTCATTATTTAGATATATTACCTTAAGGATTATTTTGTCAATTCACAGCACACACAAAGAGATAGTAAAAATAGATTAATAACATATATATTGTCATCCTATAAAAACATTTCTTGCAATTTCTTTGTGCAAATGCTATATCATACATTGATTCTAAAAAGCGCAATGCCACCATTTACTACAACTTATAAAATCTTATGCATTTCCTTAGAACTATAATTCATAACATGAATATTTTATCATTATACGCATTTTGTTAATACGAATTAGATAGTATAAAAGAGAAAAACGCTAAAATTATTGCCTTATTTGAAAATAATATTCATTATAAATAGATTTGATTATAAAATTGGTCCGATTTGAATACTAAATGTACAATTTCTTGTCACTGTCATTAAGTTTCGCATGTATTACAACAGAATTCGTTTCCAAAACGCACTATTAATGTAAATACATCTTAGATTTAACGTTATACCCGTTTCATACTGGATAATAATCGCTGTAGCAATCAATTAGATATATATATATTTATATATATATATAATATATATATAAAATGAGTAAATTATATGACAAAGACTTGTCTTTAAGAAACAATGTTCAAAAATATATTAATTAATATTATATTTTGCTGTGCTATTCTATTGCACCTTTTCACGCGATTATTACTCAATAAAAAACAGATATAGAAAACGCTTTATTAAAAAACTCGTATAAACGCGAATATACATTTATTATATGTGCAAATTTTATATTTACATATTTTTATATAAATAGAGCTCTATCTCTTTCTCTTTCTATGAATAACATTTTTTATAAATTTGTGACAATATTGAGATTCTTGTCACTTATACTTATATATGTATATATATATATTTTAATGCCATTTTAAAATTCTATATTAAAAGCGTAAATCTCATATCAAAAAGTCTTGTGACTTATAAAAAAAATCTTTCTATATTTTTTAAAATTTAAATAATTTTCTATGGTATCTTTGTCGTTATATTTTATATATTTGCTTAACAATTTTTAATTATTTTCAAAATTGTGAAGTTCTTTGGAAGAATGTGCATATACGCCGAAATTTAAATCCTTTATATATCAGGAGATAGACGCGGTAGTGTCTCCGGCCATGTTCAAAAACTGAGAGACACTACAAGTTTTAAAAGAGACAATTAACTGATATGATTCCAACGAAAAGACTATAATAACAAAACATTATTGTCATCATAACATATGATTTGACATTTTAACCGATAGAAGGTAATCGAAAGATCGAAACACGAAAAGATCTAGAAACATAAATCTCTTATAAGAAAAAGCGCACATCGAAAACATTCGTTCGCAGTTAGTCACAATTAAGCAGCTCATCATCATCTTAATTAGCTGAAAAACGTGTGCATATACGCCGAGGTGAATAACTTACATGTATTCATTACAATTCAAATTGTGTGTAACACGTACAATTATTAATACGTTTTTTGTGTACAAGTTGTATAAATACGATTATGCATTAAATATAGTGTGAAAAAAGGGGAGAGAATTTCAAGTTTTTTATTTCAAATTTTGTTCATCGGATATCGTATATTGTAGTTACCGAGTTTATGGTACTCCTATATCTTTAAAAACATATCAAAAATCAAGAGCATGTGAGAGTGCAACGTCGTTGTAGGTACGTGAATAATCCAAACCGGGTCCTCAATCAAATTCTTTATTATTGAACATCAAAATAAGTACGTTTCGACTCCTTTTTGAGTCTTCTTCAGCTAATACAAATACATGAAGTCTTTATTTAATAATTTTGCAAAACATACGATCGAATTGACAGATAAGGCGTATTATTATTTATCTGTAAGTATTATGTAAGTAAGATGACCAAGTATATGTTTTCATTCTATCAGAATTTCATCAGAATTATAATGTCTAGCACTAGGCATATGCGATAATTAATTAATCTAAGGCCAGGACATAATAAAAAATGCCTACTATTGTATTTATGATTTTTTCTTCAATTTATTTGTAAGGTAGGTCTCCTTTGAGTAAGTAAACTATTAATTTTTTGTCATCGAAAAATAATACTTACAGCCTTTACATCTTATCTGTCAATTCGATCGTTTGTCTTGCAAAATAATTAAATGAAGAGTTCATGTATTTGTATTAGCTGAAGAAGACTCAAATAGAGGTCCAAACGTATTCACTTTGATGTTCAATAATAAAGAATTTTATTGAGGATCCGTTTTGGATTATAGTCGTTCCTACAACAACGTTGCATTCTCACATGCATTTGATTTTTGATGTTTATTGAATTAGGAGAGTCCGTAAGGAGATTACGTTTCGAAATTAAATCATTATACACATCACATATATTACTGGATGTATAGACAATTCAAATTCATAATTGATATGAAATGGTTTTTTTGCGGGAAAAATCAATTTTAATACGTTAAATGGATTTGCCGTTATGATAGACTACGTATAAGGGCATAACATTTACGAAAATACAAGAGAGAGAGAGAGAGAGAGAGAGAGAGAGAAAGAGAAAGGGGGGGATATATTAATATTATAAATTATATTTATTAATATGAAATGTACAGGTTTAATGATATATTTCTTTACAGCTGAAGTTTTGACTTTTACACATATTAAACATCATAAAGATGCCTACCATTAATGATTATCGATTTGAGTCAGTCCGTTTGGACAGTTACAAAATCTTGCCATATTTGTGGAAAGTGGAGCCAGAAAAACTCGCAGCGGCTGGATTTTATTATACAGGCGAAAGCGACAATGTGAAATGCTTCATGTGCAACGTAATATTATGTGAATGGAAACTAAAAGATGATCCGTTTGCCGATCATCAACGGGAATCTAGTCAATGTGAATTTATTAGAAATATTCCATGCGGCAATGTACCGTTCGGTACGGATCCTAGCACAATTCCGACTCCCGTGTTTAATAAAGGAATAGATATACCTGAAATACCTTTTGAATCTCAACCGATGATTGACCTTCCTTCCAATCAAAGCTATGAAAATCGAGAGATAGTAGAAAGAAGGGCTTATTGGTTAGAACAGTTAGTAGGCCAAAATTCCTTTAAACCGAATTATTTAATTATATTTTCCGAGTATAATGTTAGATTAGCAACGTATGACAAATGGCCTAAATCAAAGTCACAAGCTAAAAAACTAGCAGCTGCAGGATTCTGTTATTCGGGAAATAGCGACCAAACAATATGTTATTACTGCGATGGAAGATTAAATAATTGGGAGCCGAATGATGATCCTTGGGCAGAACATGCCAAATGGTTCCACTATTGTCATTATCTAATTATAAGTAAAGGGACGGAATTTATAAACAATATTACTGGGAAATCATACATCAAAATAGTAAGCATTTAATTAAAAATAGACGAATTTTTATTTAAATTATGCAATTTTTATATCTTTAATTAATATTTTAATTCTAATCTACTTATATATATATATATATGTATGTATATAAAATTATGAAATTATGTTGAATATAATAATCAGTCTTAAATCATTTTATTTTTCTGATAAGCACTCGAACTTTAAATGATACAATGGAAGAAAAATTGAAGAAACTTGATACAAGTGAGAAAATTGATAGTGGAACCTCTCAAAATTTAATTACTGATAAAGAACCTAAAACACAAGTAAGTAGTGTATCGCATGAAGCCAGCAGCAAGGAACAATGTATCCAAGCACTAGATATAAAATTGAGTGATAAAACTGACAAGGATATAAATATAAAATTAGCTTAAATTAAAAAATTAGCAAAGTTTGTTTTAGTAGAGAACTACAGATCTTATTTGTACCATGTAAACATTACCTGATGTGTGTAGAGTGTGAGAAAAATTTGACAAAATGTATATGTGGCGAAAATATTAAATATATAGTAAAAGTGGATATAAAGTATAATTAATAATCTGTAGTGTCTATATAAAAATCGCCACGTATCAACTAGGGCTGCACGCAGGGCATTTTAAAAGACTTTTATTTGAATAAACGATATTTGAAAAAAAAGTTGTATCCTGTATTTTATATTTCAAATACTAAAAAATTTACATTTGATCTTTAATAATTCAAATTACAGAATATATTATATAAAATACTTTCAAAATATATAATACTTTGCATTGCTGAGATATAAAATACAAACTACACTTTTATTACAAAAACTGTGTTTTAAATAAAATTATTTCATTTTTGCGCAGCATAATGTTATCTACTTTATAAAGACTAATATTTTTAACAAAATTAAACTATCATTTAATTTTGCTGATTCGTTTATCGTAATGAGCAAATACAAATTAGAATAAGGAAAATGATCTTAGTGCTTTTTATCAGTATTTAGACACAGAATGTATGTTTTATTTAAAAATGATGATAAGACGTTTATTGAAACCAATTAACGTATACTTTTATTATTAAACTTTATATAACTGAATTTTACATAATTTGTAAGTTTCTAGTGAGATAACTAGAATGATAAATAAATTGGAATCAATATATACATTACTTATTATATATATGCATGATATTATATCTTATTATAATTAAAATAGTAATTATAAGACTACTAAAACATCATTATGTATAAATTTTAATAAAACCTTGATATCTGCAGTTACCGATTGTTAAGAATTTTTTTTTGGAAACTTTCCAGACGTAATTTGTACCTTGTTCTTTCATCTTTACATGTCTAATGCGTGAGAATCATTTAATAAAATACTTGCCAATCTATACAATTTCGTAATCTCTATCTCTTTTCTAATATCTCCTAGAAAATAACAATTATTATCAATCAGAAAAAAAGTTAAAGTAATTGCGTTGATATATATTTATTGCATTAAAACATGATAATCATAGTACATAATTATGACATTCACTTGCTACATTTGCTTGTTTACTTAGTTGCAAGAAGTAATTTAAAGACGTATTCCAAATATACGACGTGAATGAATAACTGAAATAGAGTTATGAGTTATTTCGATATCGAGATCAATAGTATTAGACAAAAATTAATCAGGATTGGAAAGTTATTTTGAGAACACCTGATACACAGGGGATAAATTTATTTTAATAGACACTACTTATATTATAACTTACGTACTTATGTGAATAGTCTACTGCAATTTAAGTTGATTAGAATGTACTCCGGTCTTTTCTATTTTCAACGTCATTGTTGTACCTAAACGTTACACTATCATATTTTCTTATTATTGCAGATATAAGACTGCTCTTCTGGAATTGCACTCTGCGATTAAAATAAGACAAATATGTATACGCTTCAATATACTGGTATTAGAGTTTGTTTTTATTTTCTTTACAAATATGAATCTTATCTGTTAAGATTGTAGAATATTCAGAAAAAATTATACATCAACGTTAAATGAGACAAAGGTAATTTAAGAGCCTATTGGTAATTTATTTTAAATAAATTTCTACATAAATGGGTCTTCATAAAGCTTTGATTAAGTTTTCACTCACAGATTTTCAACCGGGCAGTATATACTTTTTCGCTTTCTCTTTCTTCTTTTGGTTTGTCATTATATACTAAAATATAATTTAAATTTTAAATCATACAACAAACAACCTTCTCAAACAAATCCAAGGGATATATTTTTAAATGTCAAAATTAAAAATGTTTTCTGACTAATAAAGCGTAATTCAATAAATCAACACATTTTCATATTTTTTAAAGACTTCTATATAGTCTAAATACATCAAGCAAACTTAATGACTAACTTAGTGATTATCCGTCTCTTTGATTCATTATTTAGATATATTACCTGAAGGATTATTTTGTCAATTCATAGCACACACAAAGAGATAGTAAAAATAGATTAATAACATATATATTGTCATCCTATAAAAACATTTCTTGCAATCTCTTTGTGCAAAAGCTATATGATACATTGATTCTAAAAAGCGCAATAACACCATTTACTAAAACTTATAAGATCTTAAGCATTTCCTTAGAACTATAATTCATAACATAAACATTTTATCATTATACGCATTTTGTTAATACGAATTAGATAGTATAAAAGAGAAAAACGCTAAAATTATTGCCTTAAATGAAAATGATAATCATTATAAATAGATTTGATTATAAAATTGGTCCAATATTAATATTAAATGTATAATTTCTTGTAACTGTCATTAAGTTTCGCATATATTACGACAGAATATGTTTCCAAAACGCACTATTAATGTAAATACATCTTAGATTTAACGTTATACCCGTTTCATACTGGATAATAAACGCGCTGTAGCAATCAATTATATAAATATATATGTATGATATATATGTATATAAAATGAGTAAATTGTATGACAAAGGTTTGTCTTTAAGAAAAAATGTTCAAAAATATGTTAATTAATAGATATTATATTGCTGTGCTATTCTATTACAACCTGTTCACGCGATTATTACTCAATAAAAAACAGATATAAAAAAAGCTTTATAAAAAAGCACGTATAAACGCAAATATACATTTAATATATGTGCAAATTCCATATTTAGATATTTTTATATATATAGAGCTCTATCTCCTTCTTTTTCTATGAATTACATTTTTTATAAATTTGTGACTTAATATTGAGATTCTTATCACTAATACATATGTATATATATATATATATATATACATATGTATACGATATATACATTTTAAGCTATTTTAAAGTTCTATATTACCATTAATCGCATATCAAAAAGTCTTGTGACTTACAAAAAAAATCTTTCTACATTTTTCAAAATTTTAACAATTTTCTATACTATCTTTGTCATATTTCAAAAATTTGCATAACAATTTTTAATTATAATCAAAATTGTGAAGTTCTTTGGAAAAATATGCGTATACGTCGAAATTTAAATACTTTATATATCAGGAGCCGCGGTAGTGTCTCCGGCCATGTTCAAAAACTGAGAGACACTACAAGTTTTAAGTATATAAAACAAAAGAAACAATTGGCTGATATGATTCTAACGAAGAGGCTATAATAACAAAACATTATTGTCATCATAACATCTGAATTGACATTATAACCGACAGAAGGCAAATGAAAGATCGAAACGCGAAAATATTTAGAAACATTAACTCTTATAAGAGAAAGCGCAAATCAGTACTCAAAAACTTTCGTTCGCAGTTAGTCACAATTAAGCAGTTGATCATCTTAATAAGCTGACAAACGTGTGCATATACGACCGAGGTGAATAACTTATATGTATTCGTCATAATCCAAATTTGTGTGTTACTCGTACAAATATTAATACATTTTCGTGTACAAATTGTATAAATTCGATTGTGCATTAAATATAGTGTGAAAAAAGGGGAAAGAATTTCAAGTTTTTTTTTCGAATTTGGTTCATCGGGTACCGTTTACTATAGTTACCGAGTTCACGATATTCCTGTACCTTAAAAAAAATATGGTGAAAAAGAAATAATAATATTAACAAAACATTATACAAATCACGTATATATTACAGAATATATAGTCAAATCAAATTCATAATTGATATGAAATGGTTTTTTTGCGGGAAAAATCAATATTTACGTTAAACGAATTGCCGTTATGATAGACTACGTAAATGGGCATAACATTTACGAAAAGACAAAAGAGAGAGGAAGAGTGAGAGAGAGAGAAGGGGGGATATATCAATATTATAAACTATATTTAATATGAAATGTATAGATTTAATGATATATATTCTTACAGCTGAAGTTTTGACTTTTACACATATTAAACGCCATAAAGATGCCTACGATTAATGATTATCGATTTGAGTCTGTCCGTTTGGACAGTTACAAAATCTTGCCATATTTGTGGAAAGTGGAGCCACAAAAACTTGCGGCGGCTGGATTTTATTATACAGGCGAAAGCGACAAAGTGCAATGTTTCATTTGCAACGTAATATTATGTGAATGGAAACCAAAAGATGATCCGTTTGCCGATCATCAACGAGAATCTAGTCGATGTGAATTTATTAGAAATATTCCATGCGGCAATGTACCGATCGGTACGGATCCTAGCACAATTCCGACACCCTTGTTTTTTAAAGGATTGGATGTACCTGATGGATTTTTTGAATCTCTACCGACGTTTGACCTTCCTTCAAATCAAAGCTATGAAAATCAAGAAATAGTAGAAAGAAGGGCTTATTGGTTAGAACAGTTATCAGGCCGAAATTTGTTTAAATCGAAGTATTTTATATTTTCCGACTATAAAGGTAGATTAGCAACGTATGAGAAATGGCCTAAATCAAAGTCACAAGCTGAAAAACTAGCAGCTGCTGGATTCTGTTATTTGGGAAATAGCGACCAAACAATATGTTCTTACTGCGATGGAAGATTAAAGAATTGGGAGCCGAATGATGATCCTTGGGTAGAACATGCCAAATGGTTCCACTACTGTCATCATCTAATTATAAGTAAAGGGACGGAATTTATAAACAATATTACTGGGACATCGTACATCAAAATAGTAAGCATTTAATAAAAAATAGACGAATTATGCAATTTTTATATCTTTAATTAATATTTTAATTTTAATCTACTTATATTTATATATGTATATATCATATATATAAAATTATGAAAATATGTTGAATATAATAATCAGTCTTAAATCATTTTATTTTTCAGATAAGCACTAGAACTTTAAATGATACAATGGAAGAAAAATGTAAGGAACTTGATACAAGTGAGAAAATTGATAGTGAAAGCTCTCAAAATTTAATTACCGCCAAAAAACCTAATACAGAAGCAAGTTGTGTATCGCATGAAGCCAGCAGCGAGAAACAACGTGACCAAGGACTGAAGGACATAAAATTGAGTGATAACATTGGCAAAGATACAGTAAATTAGTTTAAATTAAAATTAGCAAAGTTTGTTTTAATAGAGAACTACAAATCTTATTTGTACCATGTAATCATTATCTGATGTGTGTAGAGTGTACTAATTACACTTTTAATACAAAAATTATGTTTTAAATACAATTATTTCTGGCTGTTATCAACTTTATAAAAATTAATATTTTTAACAAAATTAAACTATCATTTAGTTTTGTTGATTTGTATATCGTAATGAGTAAATACAAATTAAAATAACAAAAATGATCTTAGTGCTCATCATCAGTATTTAAACACAGAATGTACGTTTTTTCTTTAAATGATGATAATAAGACGTTTATTGAAATCAAGTGACGTATATATTTATTGTTAAATTTTATATATTTGAATTTTACATAATTTGTAATTTTTATTGAGATAACTGTAGAATGATAAAAATATTGGAATCAATATATATATTTATTGTATATATGCATTATATTATATTTCATTATAATTAAAGTGGTAATTATAAGTCTACTAAAACATCATTATATAAATAAATTTTAATAAAAGTTTGATATCTGAATTTACCGACTTTTAAGAATTTTTTTTCTAGAAATCTTCCAGACGTAATTTGTACCTTGTTCTTTCATCTCTACGTGTCTAATCCATGAGAATCATGTAATAAAATACTTGCCAATATGTACAGTTTCGCAATCTCTTTCTCTTATTTCTAATATCTCCTTGAAAATAACAATTATCAATCAAAAAAAAAAGTGAAAGTAATCGCATTGATATATATATATATTGCAGCAAAACATGATAATCATAGTACAATACATAATTATGACATTCACTTGCTACATTTGCTTGTTTACTTAGTTGCAAGAAGTAATTTAAAGAAGTATTCCAAATATACGACGTGAATGAATAACTGAAATAGAGTTATGAGTTATTTCGATATCGAGATCAATTGTTTTAGACAAAAATTTATCGGGATGGGAAAGTTATTTTGAGAACACCTGATACACAGGGGATAAATTTGTTTTAATAAACACTAGATACTTATATTATAACTTAGGTACTTATGTGAATAGTCTAATGCAATTTAAGTTGATTAGAGTACTCGGGTGTTTTCTATTTTCGACCTCATTGTTGTACCTAAACGTTACACTATCATAATGTCTCATTATTATAGATATAAAACTGTTCTCCTGAAGTTGCACTTTGCGATTAAAATAAGATAAATATGTATACGCTTCAATATACTGATATTAGAGTTTGTTTTTATTTTCTTTACAAATATGTATTTGTTAAGATTGTTGAACACTCAGAAAGCATTGTACATCAACGTTTAATGAGACAAAGGTACTTTAAGAGCCTATTGGTAATTTATTTTAAATAAATTTCTACATAGATATGTCTTCATAAAGCGTTGATTAAGTTTTCACTCACAGGTTTCAACCGGGCAGTATATACTTTTTCGCTTTCTCTTTCTTCTTTTTGTTTTGTCATTATGTACTAAACTATAATTTAAATCATACAACAAACAACCTTCTCAAACAAATCCAAAAGATATATTTTTAAATGTCAAAATTAAAAATATTTTCTGAGTAATAAAGCGTAATTCAATAAATCAATATACTCTCATATTTTTTGAAGACTTCTATATAGTCTAAGTACATCAAACAAACTTATAATGACTAAGTATAACGTAGTGATTATTCTTTTTTTTTTATTCATTATTTAGATAGATTACTTTAAGGATTATTTTGTCAATTAATAGCACACACAAAGAGACAATAAAAATAGATTAATAACATACATTTTGTTATCCTATAAAAACTTTACTTTACGCATTTTGTTAATACAAATTAGATAGTATAAAATAGAAAAACGTTAAAATTATTGTCTTATTTGAAAATGATAATCATTATAAACAGATTTGAATATAAAATTGGTCCGATATTAATACTAAATGTATAATTTCTTGTAAATGTCATTAAGTTTCGCATATATTACAACAGGATATGATTTCAAAACGCACTATTAATGTAAATACATCTTTGATTTAACGTTATACCTGTTTCATACTGGATAATAATCGCGCTGTAGCAGTCAATTGTATATATATGTATATACAATATATATAATATATATATATAAAATGAGTAAATTATATGACAAAAGCTTGTCTTTAAGAAACAATGTTCAAAAATATATTAATTAATATTATATTATGTGCTGTGTGCAATTCTATTGCAACCTGTTCGCGTGATTATATTACTCAATAAAAAACAGATATAAGAAACGCTTTATTAAAAAACTCGTATAAACGCGAATATACATTTATCTATTATATATGCAAATTTTATATTTATATATTTTTATATATATGGAGCTCTACCTTATATATATATATATATATATATATACATTTTAATGCCATTTTAAAATTCTATATGAAAAGGGTAAATCTCATATCAAAAAGTCGTGTGACTTATAAGAAAAGGCTTTCTATATTTTTTAAAATTTTAATAATTTTCTATACTATCTTTGTCGTTATATTTTATATATTTGCATAACAATTATTAATTATCTTCAAAATTGTGAAGTTCTTTGGAAGAATGTGCATATACGCCGAAATTAGATACTGTATATATCAGGAGAGAGACGCGGTAGTGTCTCCGGACATGTTCAAAAACTGAGAGACACTGCAAGTTTTAAGTATATAAAACAAAAGAGACAATTAACTGATATGATTCTAACGAAAAGACTATAATAACAAAACATTGTTGTCATCATAACATCTGATTTGACACTTTAACCGATAGAAGGCAATCGAAAGATCGAAACACGAAAAGATCTAGAAACATTAATCCCTTATAAGAGAAAGCGCACATCAGTACTCGTAAACTTTCGTTCGAAGTTAGTCACAATTAAGCATTTGATTGTCATCTTAATTAGCTGACAAACGTGTGCATATATACGCCGAGGTGAATAACTTATATGTATTCGTTACAATGCAAATTGTGTGTATCTCGTACAATTATTAATACGTTTTTTGTGTACAAGTTGTATAAATACGATTGTTCATTAATTATAGTGTGAAAAAAGGGGAGAGAATTTCAAGTTTTTTATTTCAAATTTTGTTCATTGGATATCGTTTACTATAGTTACCGAGTTCACGATACCCCTGTATCTTTAAAAAAAATTTGTTGAAAAATAAATAATAATATTAATAAAACATTATACAAATCACGTATATATTACTGGATGTATAGTCAATTCAAATTCATAATTGATATGAAATGGTTTTTTTGCGGGAAAAATCAATTTTAATACGTTAAACGAATTGCCGTTATGATAGACTACGTATAAGGGCATAACACTTACGAAAAGACAAGAGATAGATAGATAGATAGATAGATAGATAGATAGAGAGAGAGAGAGAGAGAGAGAGAGAGAGAGAGAGAGAGAGAGAGAGAGAGAAGGGGGGATATATCAATATTATAAATTATATTTAATATGAAATGTATAGATTTAATGATATATTTTTTACAGCTTAAGTTTTGACTGTTACACATATCAAACACATAAAGATGCCTACCATTAATGATTATCGATTTGAGTCAGTCCGTTTGGACAGTTACAAAATCTTGCCATATTTGTGGAAAGTGGAGCCAGAAAAACTCGCAGCGGCTGGATTTTATTATACAGGCGAAAGCGACAATGTGAAATGCTTCATGTGCAACGTAATATTATGTGAATGGAAACTAAAAGATGATCCGTTTGCCGATCATCAACGGGAATCTAGACAATGTGAATTTATTAGAAATATTCCATGCGGCAATGTACCGATCGGTACGGATCCTAGAAGAATTCCGACACCAATGTTTAATAAAGGAATATGTATACTTGAAAAATCTTTTGAATCTCAACCGATGTTTGACCTTCCTTCCAATCAAAATTATGAAAATCTAGAGGTAGTAGAAAGAGGGGCTTATTGGTTAGAACAGTTAGTAGGCCAAAATTCCTTTAAACCGAATTATTTAATTCTATTTTCCGAGTATAATGTTAGATTAGCAACGTATGACAAATGGCCTAAATCAAAGTCACAAGCTGAAAAACTAGCAGCTGCTGGATTCTGTTATTTGGGATATAGCGACCAAACAGTATGTTATTACTGCGATGGAAGATTAAAGAATTGGGAGCCGAATGATGATCCTTGGGCAGAACATGCCAAATGGTTCCACTACTGTCATCATCTAATTATAAGTAAAGGGACGGAATTTATAAACAATATTACTGGGACATCGTACATCAAAATAGTAAACATTTAATAAAAAATAGACAAATTTTTATTAAAATTATGCAATTTTCATATCTTTTATTATTATTTTAATTTTAATCTACTTATATATACAAGGTGACCCATTTTAACCTTCAATGTAGAATATCTCGATAACTATAAATCCAGTAGACAAAAATGTTTCAAATAAAAATGGAACGAGGGGGACACGTTTTAGTCACGTTGTTATTTTTCTAAGTGGAAGCGCTAAAAAGATATGAAGGTCACCTCCACTTTTTTATATGGAATTATGTAATTTTTTTTAGATAACGTGATTCCTCTAATTATTTTGCATATAAAAGTATTAAGGTAGAGATACCAAAAAACCAATAGTTTTCGAGATATTTTACACTTTATTTCGGTACATATTGACACAAAATGTACTATACGTATAGCTCGTAAACTGCGTTGACTTCTTGATTATCGTACCTTAATACTTTTGTGAACAGAATAATGAGATAAATCAAATGGTGTAAAGAAAACACATAGTTGCTTTAAAAAAAATATGTATACAGAATAGATAATTTTTTAAATACGCAACTATGTGTTTTCTTTACACCATTTGATTTATCTCATTATTCTGTTCACAAAAGTATTAAGGTACGATAATTAAAAGGTCAACAGTTTACGAGTTATTTAACATTTTGTGTAAATATGTACCAAAATAAAGTGTAAAATATCTCGAAAACTATTGGTTTTTTGGTATCTCTACCTTAACACTTTTATATGAAAAATAATTAGAGGATTCACGTTATCTAAAAAGAATTACATAATTCCATTTAAAAAAGTGGAGGGGATCTTCATATCTTTTTAGCGCCTTTACTTAGAAAAAAAACAACGTGACTAAAACGTGTCCCCCTCGACACCGTTTCATTTTTATTTGAAACTTTTTTGTCTACTGGATTTAGTTTTCGAGATATTCTCCATTAAAGGTTGAAATGGGTCACCTTGTATACGTATCATATATATATAAAATTATGAAATAATTTTAATTATGAAATTATGTTGAATATAATAATCAGTCTTAAATCATTTTATTTTTCAGATAAAAACTCGAACTTTAAATCATAAAATGGAAGAAATATGTGAGGAACTTGATATAAGTGAGACAATTAATAGTGGAAGCTCACAAAATATAATTACTGCTAAAGAACCTAATACAGAAGTAAGTAGTGTATCGCATGAAGCCAGCAGCAAAGAACAGTGAATTAGGTGATAACACTGACAAGAATATATATGTATTTATATAATTAGTTGAAATTAAAATTAGCAAAGTTTGTTTTAGTAGAGAACTACAAATCTTATTGTATCATGTATAATCGTTATCCGGTGTGTGTAGATTGTGAGAAAAATTTTACAAAATTTATGTGTGGCGAAAATATTAAATATATATATTAAATATATATATAGTAAAAGTGGATATAAAGTATAATTAATAACCTGTAGTGTCTATATAAAGTTGCCACGTATCAACTAGGGCTGGGCATTTTAAAAGACTTTTATTTAAATAAACGGTATTTGTAAAAAAATTATATCCTGTATTTTGTATTTCAAATACAAAAAATTTACATTTGATCTTTAGTTATTTAAATTACAAAATATATAATACTTTCATGTATAATACTTTGCATTGCTGAGATATAAAATACAATATAAATTACACTTTTATTACAAAACCTATGCTTTAAACTTTAAATAAAATTATTTCATTGTGCCTGTTATCAACTTTATAAAGACTAATATTTTTAACAAAATTAAACAATCATTTAGTTTTGTTGATATGTATATCGTAATGAGTAAATACAAATTAAAATAAGAAAAATAATCTTAGTGCTTTTTACCAGTATTTAAAAACAGAATGTATGTTTTTTTAAAAATGATGATAAGACGTTTATTGAAACCAATTAACGTATATATTTATTTTTAATTTTTATATATCTGAATTTTACATAATTTTTAAGTTTTTGGTGAGATAACTATAGAATGATAAAAATATTGGAATCAATATATATATTATTTATTGTATATATGCATTATATTTTATTATAACTAAAATAGTAATTATGAAACTACTAAAACATCATTATGAATAAATTTTAATAAAAGTTTGATATCTGCTTTTACTGACTTTTAAGAATTTTTTTTCTAGAAACTTTCCAGACGTAATTTGTACTTTGTTCTTTCATCTTTACATGTCTAATCCATGAGAATCATATAATAAAATATTTGCCAATATGTACAGTTTCGTAATCTCTTTCTCTTATTTCTAATATCTCCTAGAAAATAACAATTATTATCAATAAGAAAAAAAAGTGAAGGTAATCGCATTGATATATATTTATTGCAGCAAAACATGATAATCATAGTACATAATTGTGACATTCACTTGTTACATTTACTTGTTTATCTTAGTTGCAAGAAATAATTTAAAGACGTATTCCAAATATACTATGTGAGTGAATAGCTGAAATAGAGTTATCATAGTTCGATATCGAGATCAATAGTTTTAGACAAAAATTTATCAGGATGGGAAAGTTATTTTGAGAACACCTGATACACAGAGGATAAATTTGTTTTAATAACACTACTTATATATTATAACTTACGTACTTATGTGAATAATCTAATGCAATTTAAGTTGATTAGAGTACTCCGTTTTCTATTTTCGACCTCATTGTTGTACCTAAACGTTACACTATCATAATTTCTCATTAGTATAGAAATAAAACTGTTCTTCTGGAGTTGCATTTTGCGATTAAAATGAGACATAAATGTATACGCTTCAATATACTGATATTAGAGTTTGTTTTTATTTTCTTTACAAATATGTATCTATTAAGATTGTTGAACACTCAGAAAGTATTGTACATCAACGTTTAATGAGACAAAGGTACTTTAAGAGCCTATTGGTAATTTATTTTAAATAAATTTCTACATAGATATGTCTTCATAAAGCGTTGATTAAGTTTTCACTCACAGATTTTCAACCGGGCAGTATATTCTTTTTCGCTTTCTCTTTCTTCTTTTTGTTTTGTCATTATATACTAAACTATAATTTAAATCATACAACAAACAGCCTTCTCAAACAAATCCAAAAGATATATTTTTAAATGTCAAAATTAAAAATGTTTTCTGACTAATAAAGCGTAATTCAATAAATCAACACATTTTCATATTTTTTAAAGACTTCTATATAGTCTAAATACATCAAGCAAACTTAATGACTAACTTAGTGATTATCCGTCTCTTTGATTCATTATTTAGATATATTACCTTAAGGATTATTTTGTCAATTAATAGCACACACAAAGAGATAGTAAAAATAGATTAATAACATATATATTGTCAGCCTATAAAAACATTTCTTGCAATCTCTTTGTGCAAAAGCTATATGATACATTGATTCTAAAAAGCGCAATGGCACCATTTAGTAAAACTTATAAAATCTTAAGCATTTCCTTAGAACTTATTACAATTCATAATATAAATATTTTCCCATTTTACGCATTTTGTTAATACAAATTAGATAGTATAAAAAAGAAAAACGTTAAAATTATTGTCTTATTTGAAATAATCATTATAAACAGATTTGATTATAAAATTGGTCCGATATTATAACTAAATGTACAATTTCTTGTGACTGTCATTAAGTTTTGCATATATTACAACAGAATATGTTTCCAAAAACGCACTGTTAATGTAAATACATCTTAGATTTAACGTTATACCCGTTTCATACTGGGTAATAATCGCGCTGTAGCAATCAATTATATGTGTGT